TTTTGTTTCCAAAGATAAAAAGTGTGTGTTAAATTGAGGTGCAGCAGACCTATTTTTCCCTTCTCCCAAAAGCTGAACATTTTCAGTTGTCTCTCCAGACACTCTCCCTCTGTCCTTCAGGAAATAAATTTTTTGAAAAAAAGAAAATGATAATGTCATCTGCAATCTCAAAAAGATTGCCTGCTTCTGTGTTAAGTTTGTTTGGTTGGTTTGAATAATTTAGGATTATTTTTAAAAAAAACAATGCCTGAATGTACTAACTGTTTAGCATAGTGTGTGAATAATCAGCTTGCAGTGAAAAACCTGGTATGGTGGTTTTTATTGCCAATATTCAGCAGATATTAAAAATCATAGATTTAAATAAACAACCAAAAAATCCCTCAAATTTTATGGATAAGTTTGATACTGCAATTCTTATTTGGAATAAAAAGGGATTTGGCTTCTGGTGCACTACTTTAAAGCTTTATTGGGTCATGGAATTATGTCAAGCAACTAATGATATTATGGGAAACAGATTTATAAGCCAGGGGAAGCCTGTATTTTCAGTTTTGGAACAGAATCTGCCATGAAATAAAGCAAGTCTTGATGTGTCTCCTGGGATATGGCAGAATTCTGCACTCACCCTAAAAGCCTGCAAATTCTATACATTTGTAGTTTACTCTTCTCCCTAGATGTTAAAGGAGCAACAAACACTTCAAAGCTTTCATTTTAGTCTTTTTATTAAAAAATTCTAAATAGTCTTTAAAAAACAAAAACAAAATGCTTAATCAATGCTATGGTAACTGTCTGTACATGCACAGTTAAGGTGCTAAAAACAAAATAAAACTGAGTAGGACGCTGGCTTATTGTATATGAGGAATCAAATCTACAAGGAGTTTAGTGCAAGTTGAATTGTTAGAATTGGAAATCAGGTACCATGCTGGTGTATTCAAATCTATTTTATACTCAAATCACAATTTCAGATAAAGGTAATAAACCTGATTGTTTAAAGAAACATTTAACACACACACACACCCTCCACGAAATAACAGCATTGATTAGAAGTATTAGAATTTTGGAAGAATTTTCCTAAAAGAAATTATATAAGAAAAAAAACCCTCTGTTTGAAAACAGAGGAAGTAAACAATATTTTAATTTGCTACTTCATTTTGGTTTTTCTGCACTGGCAAAAAGTAGCTTATACCCATCAAGTCATTTTATACAAATTACAACATTAAATACAGGTGATTTGTGCTAAGGCTGAACTATTTTTTTTCTAGAATGAAGACTTATCTTCTCTGCCTAACTATGCCAGAAGGTCTGACAGAAACTGACTTAATTACTAAATTACTATTCCATATTTGCTATAGTTGCAACATTACCTGCAACAGTGACATAATCAAATCAATTGGGGAATGGACAAATGATGCTTCTCAGCAAGGGGAACAAATGGCAACCCAGATACCATTCTACTAAAACTAGTTTATGTAGCATTTTAAGTCAGCTTTCTTTATATAAGAGCCACAAGAGTGATCTGCATAACTTGTATTCAAAATTGGACATGGACACCATTCCAAGAATGCTTATCCCAGTCAGTTAAAAGAAAAACACCAAGTAACAAGTTAATGCTAAATATAGCCTTTGTGTGTGTGTGTGTGTGTGTGTGTGTGTGTGTGTGTGTGTGTGTGGTGTCATTTTGCAAAACAGAAAAACAAATCCTTTGTAAAACCAAAGATTAACTACTGTGATTACCTAGAATAAAATTAAAAACCTCCTGCTGATGATAAACCCTCAAACTGTGTTATGGTGACAGTATTGCTAACACAGGACATATTTAATGAGAAATTAAACTGAAGAACTGGTCGAAACAATCTATTTCCACACGTGGAGGAGAACAGATGCTTTGGGTCTAGCAGTTTTAGGCAAGATGGAGCCCAATGCCTTGGAATTTCTATGATTGTTTTATTAATATTCTTTAAAAAGTACTCAAGATTGCAAATTAGTTTGTACTAGTTGATATAAACATAGATTATATTAAGCCCAGAATTTTCTATTTTGGCCACATGAAATCTGAATGTGAAAAATGTAAAACACATTCTAGTTTTGAGAAGTTGTACAGATCGACTGTATGATCACAATTTATGATTTTCTGCACTGTCCAAGTATAGAATTTTATAAAATGCCATGTAAATGTTTTATCCAGCACTACTTAAATATGGTTAACTGAAGTAAAATAATTCTTGTGGGCTAGAGAGGATCAGGCAAGCTGCCTGAGGAGGTATGATGCAAAGAGAATTATTTTGAAAACTACCTGCCTCTTTGAGCAGTGAAGGTGGAAATACAGGCACTTGCCCCAATTTCAATAGCTGAGAAGTGGAGATTCCCCAGTATAGGTTTTTAAGAAGCAGCACTGGCTAGTATATAAATCTCAAGATTTTGAAAGGTAAGTATCTTTAACAGGAAATTAAATAATAAAAAAGAATGTGGCAGGTTTTTTTGTCTGCTTCTTTCTTTCAAGAGGCTTTGATATATAGCTATGGGAACTCTTGGCTCCATTCTGCCTTATATTAATAGAAAAAAGGCAGCTGGCTTGTAAGTGTTGACTGGAATGTAGAAGCAAACTATGTTGCTATTTTCTACCCAGGACAATTTTTTTTCCCTGAGTGAGTTAAATCTATGGAAATTCATGCTGACTCAAATTGTAAAGACATTAAGAAAAAAAATATTTTACTAGATCTTTTAAAATTTCCTAAAATTCTATGGATATTTTCTCCTACCAAGAGATTTTTATTTTTGTCTAGTTTGAATTATGTGAAATTTCAGGGCTGCTGTATGCCAAGAACAAAGAAAAAAACCATTGCTGGATATTTGATATTTGATTGTGCTTGGGTTTTTGCACAATTCCTGTTTTATATATATGTATGTATATGTATGTATATATAAAACAGGAATTGTGCAAAAACCCAAGCACACAGTAGACTGGAGGTTTAACTTGTTTTTCCCCAGTTATGATATAACAGTCCCACTTCTCTGAAGTTGGTATAGGTGACCTTTGTTATCTGCAATCCATTGTTTATGGTTTGAAAATACAGATCAGATTTTATTATTTGCAAAAGGATTGGATAGCTTTAATCTTTGATACATTATTCTATTTGGAAGATTTCTAGAGTATTTTTTTAATGGAGGGATGTATGTAAATGTGCACAAAATACTGGTGGGCTTTTTTCATGAATAAAGTACACTTCTTCAAAGTCTTGTTATGCACAATTCTGTTTTCAATGGCTGTTAGACTGGAATAGAGCTACCACAAATAACAAGGGCTACCTACATTATATTTACATTTTATGGAAAACTCCCTTGATATTAATATTTCTCTTGAAATGCAAATACTGCAAATTTTGCTAGAAAAAGAACAGAAAAAAATCCTTGCTTACCATGGTTTGGATGCTGTTCAGGCTTCCTCATAATTATATTCTCATAATTAACATTAGCTTGATCCCAATTGATTTAAGGTACCTAATCAAGTTACAAAGCGGCTGATCTGGCACTTCACAATTTATAAATTAGAATTTAAAATAGTACTGCGCCTAATTTTTGTAGCTGCAAAGTATTTCAGCAGCTGTTACTTTTCTTGATGAACCAAGAATGAAATGGTTTATCATTAAATTCAGGTACCTAACGTATTTGTATATATTAAAAGCTGATATAAGGGAGAGTGCATATTAAGAAAAAGAAGCAGAATAATTATTTTCCAGCAGTAGTATTAGAGCAATAGATGAGGTAGATTTAAACACACACAAGTGCTTCCTTAACTCATGCCAATAGCTGCCTCAGAAAAATCAAGTTCACTGTCCAAGACTAGCATGGGCAATGTTTTAATTAAGAACTGTAGGTTTGCATATTTAAATTGCTCATATACATATCATTCATAAGTGTGAATGAATACAAAACTATAGCTGGTTTACACTGCAGTTAAGAACTCATCCTTTGTATTTTAACTTAGAGGTAAAACCCATTCTATTTAACTGGTCTTTTTGTCTTATTCAATATATCTTGAGTTGCATCTTTAAATGAGAAAAATCCCTATTCTGGAATTATAGTCTGACTGCTGTTCATTTTGAATTGGTCCCTAAATATCAAAGAACTTTGAAATAATAAGCTGAAAACTAGTGCTTCATAATTGGGCAGACAAATTTAAAAAGCTTCTTACAATATGTACACTGAAGGGTTTGGCTGCACTTGTTCCTCTGGTTTCCACATGCATGTCTTGAGTTTGGAGCTGAAAATGATCAAATTCAACATTTTCTCTTTAATGGCTATCTGCAGGGCCCAGCAAATATTCTTCATAAATAGGATAACAAATTATTCAAAGTACTTTTACTTTATGGATCTTCTTGCCCTTCATTTCTCAAAAAAAATAAATATCTCAGATTCTTTGAAAGAGGCCATTAACCCTTTCCTCCCAAAATGTCCTAGAATAGATATAGGAGGAACCATTCAAGGCACTGATGCTGAAAGAACTGAAGCATGGGGGAATTTTCTTAATATTCCTAAAGGCTACATTAGCAGCTATGTTAACAAATCAATTTCTCATATTCAATGAGAATTTTGAAGGTGTTGAATTCAGTTTGATAATTAAGAACCAACTTCACTTTGCTTCTTTCTCTTTGAAAACTAGGAGTAAATTGGAATATTTTCTACCAAAACACAAACAAGAAACTTGACACTAAAAGTTGATAAACTCCCTCCCTCTCCATCAAGACCATAATTTAACTTTTTGCTATTTTTTTCCTTTTGCTGTATTTCCGGTGCATTCACTAATAATCTCTGATGCCTTCTATACAGTTTTAATATGCAGCCTACATTCTGTACCATGGGAGAATAACTAACTAGTTTATTATTTAATTAGAATGGAAAAATGCAAAACAGTTATCTCCCTCTCCCTCCACAAAAAAAGCAAACCCAGTCTTCTACTTTGGGAAACTTTTCATAGAGCCTTCGTATTTCATAGAGCCTTATAGATGCATAAGGATTTTTAGAAGGGATTGGGGAAACATCAACAAATAAATAAATATAATAGCCAATCTTAAATGCATCCATGGTTAACTTGTAGACTTGATCAACAATAACTTGCTTAGAGGCAGTCTTCCTAAGAAATCTTCAGCTACAGGAAAAGGTACTGACCGAACTGGGTGCCATTCTGGCTGATAAGAGGAATAAAAGATGATATATTATTCTGATAAGAAATGGATGCTGTTCATTTAAAAATATGTGTAAGATGGGAAAAGAAGTGCAGATCAAGCGCTGGTCCCATCCTCTTCAATAACTCGGTTCATGCTGGTGCCATGAGTTATGTGAGTTACTGGATTTCCACTGAGGTCTCTGGTGCTACTGTGACGTGACTGATCATTGAGCCGATGAGAACTGCTATGCCTGGAGTGATCAGTCAATCGGGACATACTGCCATGAGGTAGTCGTTCTTCAATTCCACGATAACTGCAGGGGGTATATCTAATTCATAAAGACTTATCTGTTTTAGTAATACATATGCATTGAAAATATTCCCATTATCCCCCAAGTATATAAATTAGATAAGCAAAACTCAGTTGTACTGCAGTTTAATCCAAACATTTTCATTTGCAGGACTATCAGTTTTCAAAAAATACTTTATCATAGTTTATTACTTGTATGTAATATTGGTTCCACTTTTAAGCATACTTATTTTATATTCACAGAGGGACAAGTTAACCATGGATAATCTGACTATAAGAAACTTACTGGATGGGGCCAAATACTTAGGTCCAGTGGTTGACCTAAATTCAACAGGTTCTGCTGCAACGATCAGCTGGGCTTCAAACAAAGGAAATATAGGACAGGATAGCACGGGGGGGGGGAGCGGGGCCAAATGATCGCTGGAACTACCGGTTCGCCCAAACCGATCCATACCAGCTGAATCCCACCCCTGTTTAGGTCACTGCTCTGTATTTTATAATCATCTATTAGATGTGTCATATAAGCCCGTAATAAGAATATAAGGGCAGCAGTCTTTCCTAACTTCTGCTTTCTAACAAAGGAATGCTAATCTTACTCTGAATATATAACACAGATGATAGAGAACTGATGATCAATGATAACTATATTTTCCATGAATTATTTTTCTAGTAATTTTTCTATAATTTTGAAAATAACAATAACTTCCATGTATAGTGATTATTCAAATAAATCTGAATGCCTGCTCAAATAATTCTTTTCTCATCCAGAAAACTGGGAGAATGGGTGTCAGGGAAACCTCATGGGCACAATGTTTCAAAGAATGAGTGTCAATGGGAAATGAGGGTCTGGATTCTCATGGGGACATAACTGACATCTTTCCCCTGCATGCATGCATGCATGAACAAGGAAAATGCTACTTGGAGGAGATAGTCCCTAAAGTACTCTGGAGCCAAGTCATATGGAGCTTTAACAGCCAAACCAGCACTTTGAACTAGACCAGAAGCATAAAACCAACATAGTAGCACTTAACTGCTAGCAGACTGGTCACTGCATTTTGTATCAATTAAAGCTTTTGAATAATTTTCAAAGACTGTCTCATATAAAACATGTTATAATAATCTAATTCTGTGGTGACTAGCACATGACTAACTGTTGTCAGGCAGCTTGGTGCACCAATTTCATCTGAGTGAATATCTTTCTGGTTATGCATTCCACCTATGATAACCAGCTCTTGTAGAAGGGCTATACTACCCATATTTGGAGATGGAACCATCATGCAAACATTTCTGGACAAATACCAACTCTATCTTTGTTTCTATCTTTCTGAAGATAGGGTTAAAATTATTCTTCTGTCTCCATTCTGGGGTACAGTGTAAAGTTTAAAATCATCCGTATATTGAGAAACCAACAGGTGACCTCTTCTAGCAACTTCTTATAGATGTTAAAAAGAAGAGTAGGGAGAGAAGGGCCAAATAGTAAACCATGCTATAGCACATACCAGGTCAACAACCCTCCCCCTGCAATACTGACTGGAGCTACCTACTGTAATAGAATTAATCTTCAACCCTCAGTCCTTAGACAGTCCAATAAGATACCATGATCAGTCTAATAGAACTAAGAGGGCCTCCTTTAAGGTTCCAACAAAGAGTAATCAATGTTCTCTATTATTTGCCTGGGTCTGAGCCTAACTAAAAAGGATCTAAATATCCATTTCCTCTAGGCCCTTTGCAGCCCAAGGAAGAGGTTAAAGACAGGATGATAGTTCACAATATGATTGGGTTGAGAAATTGCTTTTTCAAAATGCATTACTGACAACCATTTCATTAACAGTCCATTCCACCTTTTCTCTACCTGGTTGCCTTTCCGAACTGTAGATTTCAATCTGAAATCCCAGAATTTTCTGCATGAATTATGCTGGAAGACATTCTACTGCTGTATTATTAAATCTGGAATTAGTTCATATTTAATAACCAACTGGGTAGGAGATATCTATCTATCTATCTATCTATCTATCTATCTATCTATCTATCTATCTATCTATCTATCTATC